CTGGCAGGGGGGGCCAGATTGTAAAGATCATTGCGGATTATCTGAGCTGATCAATGTACGAGCAGCTTTGTAAGTACAAAAATACAGGAGAATGTTAAACTACTGTCACTAGACACACAGCTCCCGGAACTTCTCCCGTTTCTGGCAGGAGTATGGTACAAGGTTGTGGGTTTGGGGAAGGAGTATCTTAGCAGAAACATTGGCGTATGTAGGGTGCAAGAGGCTTGGCTACCGGTTTTGTTTCTCCATTGTGCTGCCCTCCTCTGCAGGTTTTCCAGGGCAGCCTTATGGATCGGGACCACTTCCTTTATGATCCTGGTTCTTCCTGTTGTCTTCGAGACTGAGAAGTTGCAAATGGAGCAACAGCAGCAGCTGCAGCAGCGTCAGGTGAGCCCGGAACCCGGCTCTTTTGCCCGTGGGGGAGACACTCCATGTGCATTTCTCCAGGACCTGGGGGGGCGTGGGCTGAGCGTGGGGGGTTGGGATTGGGGCAGTGCTCCCACCTGTGTTCTCAGATGCTGTCTACCCCATCCAGCGTGGTGTCATTGAGATCCCCAGGCCTGTGAAGTCCCTCAACTCCACTCCTTTTCTTTCACAGATACTTCTAGGACCCAACACAGGGCTGTCAGGAGGAATGCCAGGGGCTCTACCTTCACTTCCTGGAAAGATCTAGTTACTGCTGTGTTTGAGCTGTCTTGGTGGGAGAAGTTGGAAATTCAGTAGCGTTTGAACTGCTGGTTATGTGGATTTTATTTTTTAAACTTTGGCACATTGATTGATCTAAATCTAGTGGGGAAAATGCTGCCTACATTCTCAGAGGCTCCCAACTTGCGGCTGTGCCCTCCACTGTCCTAGTTCTGCTGTCATACTGTACACCACCCTCCTCACTAAATTGCTCCTAGTTGTTCTGGAAGACCCCTCCCCTCCCATTGCGGGAACTGATGCCAGTGGGAGGGATGGACCCCTGACCATTAACAACTTTTCTTTTTAGAATGGAACTGTTGGGGAGGGGCGTGCACAGTGAAACAGACAAAATGCCGAAGAGCTGTAATGTAAAGCAGCATACTGTAAAGAGCTGTGCATCTGTGTGTGCCAGGGAGGCGGGCAGGCCAACAGCAGCCTTGACCACAGGGTGGAGACTTAAGGGCAGAGCAGCAGCTCATCTCTTTTCTGCATTTTGGCTGTTAGACCTGGATTTATGTGTGTATGTTAAAAAAAAAAAAAAAAGTCAGTGCTCACTTTTTGTATTTAAATATTAAAAAAGATTCCAACTGAAAGTCACCCACGTACTTGTACTTTCCTCAACGTCGCTCAGAGCAGCTCCTGCCACTTTTAGTTCACAGAGCATTCTTGAGGCAAATACCTGAGGCGCCTCATGTTTCTTCTCACTCAAGCTCGCACCACTGTCTTAACACAGTTGGCCCTGAGGCCCTAGTTGTTTCCAGAAGTAAAATCTTCAAAATAAAATTCATTTTTGGCCAAACCAGAAAAACTCACTGCCATTATCAATTCTCATAGGACAGACAGAACTGCCACAGAAGGTTTCCAAAGCTGTCAATCTCTATGGAAGTGGACTGCCTCATTTTTCATCCTCCCATGGAGCAGCTGGTAGGTTTAAACTGCCGACCTTTTTGTTAGCAGCCAACTGCTTTAACCATTATACCACCAGGCATTTTTTTTTCTTGGTGTTTGCTGTCGAGTCGGACATGACTCATAGTGACCCCTCCTTAAGTTTCCAAGGCAGCATCACTACGTTAAGTAGGTTGCCTGATCTTCCAAGGAGTGTCTGGTGGATTTGAACTACCAGCCTTCTGGTTAGCAGTTATATACGCCTTGGACACTATGCCACCAGAGCTCCTCTTAGGTCCATTAGCCTGAAACAAAGGGTTGGATCCATGTACATGTAGTCTATAGTGACAATGTACAATTATAAAATACTTATAGGGTACAATGGATAATACTGACTTCTCATCTTGGGGTGGGGGAAAGAGTTGCCAACAGAAGTATGCTGTGACTCAGTTCAAAATTGTTGAGGGGAGCCATTGATGAATTTGGCTGTAGCCCTGTCTTTCAGTGTTGTAATCTATTTTACACTAATTAGTATTGAGTATTGTGCCAATAATAGCACTAAGCTTTTATGTGGCTTATTTGTTGTTATATTCCATGGAGTCGAGCCCTACTCGTAGCGACCCCTCCTTGGGTTTCCAAAGCAGTATCACTATGTGGCTTATTTAGGACAATACAGTTTAGGTAGGCCAATCTACTTCCGTAGTGATACCGCCTCAGAAACCCAAGGAGGGGTCCCTATGAGTCAGGTCTGACTCAGTGGCACATAACAACAGTAGTCCTATTTTACAGAGGAGGAGACGGCCAGAGAAAGAGCAAGTCATCTGCGTAAGGCCACACAATATGTGCTGAACTGGATTTTAAACCCAGATGGTCCAACCACAGAACCATGCTGTATACCCGGGTCCTGGGACAATTCATTCAGATACATGATCTTCTACTTGTTAACCCAGGAAAAACTAGTCACCAACCAGAGCTGTTAGAGTTGACTTGTAGATGGAGTCGGAGTCTTCAAACTTGTCAGGATTCATTTTTGTAACAAAAAGTAAACAAAAAAAATGACCCAGGGGTTTTTCACAAACAAAGGAAAAGTATTTTGGATTTTTCAGGTGAGAGATATGATCAAAGCACAAAAAGCCTCTGAGATGACTTCTTATGGTAGTGAACTCTTTAAAGCAGCATCATAACATTTATTATTTCTCTTTTTTACATATTTAACTCAGACAAGGAGATTTATGTATGGAGTTTTCCATTTTTAATGTTTGGTTAAACAAAATACATCTTTTGTAAACAAACCCAGCACAAGGCCAACAACAAAAAGGAATAAAAGCAAGAAAAACAAAAAGCCTAGGGTTGCCCCTTACTGGGCATCAGGGTCAGGCCTGCTCCCTTCCTTAAAGGACGTGGGGCTTTTTACCCTTGGGCATCAGCATGGGTCCCTGTTCCTAAGCACCAGAATAGGATATGAACAGAAACCAGTCCTGAAATGTTTACATGTCTTTGCATAGCCCATTGGCTCATGGACTCCAAGTGCATGGGACTCCTTTGAAATATCATTTACAAGGCCCAAGCAGATCTGTGGAAAGGAGTTTCCTTCTCTTTCCAGGAAATGGCTTACTATCACGGACAGCGCCAGTGGACAAAGACATGGCTTACTATCACGGACAGTGCCAGTGGACCCGGACATGGCTTACTATCAAGGACAGTGCCAAGGGACCTGGACATAGCTTACTATCATAGACAGTGCCAGCGGACCAAGACATGGCTTACTATCAAGGACAGTGCCAATGGGCCCGGACATGGCTTACTATCATGGCCAGTGCCAGTGGACCCCAAGGCCCTGCTTGTGACAATCAGCAGGGTTGGCCGTAACTGCTGGCTGATGCTGGTTGGAATGTCACTGGGTGGGGATTCCCTGTGGTGCCAAGCAGGTCTAGTGTAGAAAATGGTACAGAAGAGACTGTGGCCGGTTGCTGGGAGGGCATAATGCAGTAGCCGCTTGGTGGCTTCTGTTACTCAGCATAAAAAACGGTCTTGTTGGATTGAAGAGACATGTGCAGAAAAAGTGCTGGTGTAAACATGCACTCCAGTCACAGTGGGAAGAAAGCCTCAGCTTCGTCCCATGAAGCTTGCTCAGGATAGACATGCAAGCCCCAGGCTGGCTCTGCTGCTGACGAGAAGTCTGGCCAGTGGGGCAGCTCCCAGACCTGGCAAGACCATTGATCTGAGGACTAGGCAGGTCCTCCCTGAGGCAACCCCATGACGGTGTGTTGAGATACTTTCCCCTCCTCTTTTCCAAAGTTACAGGAAAAGTGGCCTACAACTATTTAAAGAGGTAGGGGGTGGGTCAATTCTCTGATTTGGGAAGGAAACTCCACAAAGATGACAAACCCAAGTCCTAGAACACCATAGCCATAACCATCCAACTTGAACGCTCTGCTGCTTATCACTATAGTGACCCCAAGTCCCCAAGCCTAGGACTTTTGATTTTGTCTGCTCTTAAAACTCTGAGCAGCTTAGCTTCACAGTACTTTCCTCATCTGACTCTGCTCCAACATAGAGGAATGTACTCTCAAAGGCAGATGTATTTTTTTTTTTTTTCTGATTTTGCCAGAGTGGGTTAACTGGAAAAACTGCCCTTTGCCTTGTCTTCTGCCCCAGAGCCTTGTAATCAATGTAGTGAAATGGTAGGGACAAACCAGAGTAAGAGCTGAGATCAAGCCGCCCCGTACCTGCCCCACAAACGTTTGGCTTCAATCATTGTCCTCTTAGATACTGATCTCACCTCTGTCATGCTAGAATATTGCAGAATTCAGCCACCCAGCTAAGAGTATTAGGGACAGTTTCATTATAAAACTCCAAGGATGGCCAGAAACTACCCTTAAACATGTAGTTGCCCATAAAAGGGGTGGCATTAAGAGTTGGACATAGAATGCTATTCTGCTTCTAGGGCTTGAGAGGTTTCCTGAGAGACCTCAATGTTCTAGGTCCTTCCAGCCAGTCACATGGGCTTCGCATACACTGTGTCCTCAAACCCACTGGTTTGCCAGGAAAGGGGAAATGGAGGCAGCATCTCCAGGTGAGTCTGGAGCAGCAGTGACTGGTTAACTCCAGCAGAGCCCCTGTCAAGTCCTCACAGGAAAGGAGAAAATAAACTAGATCCCACCCTCCTTTGTCCTCCTGCCTCTTAAAACCAAGGGTCACTATGGCTTACCCTAAGCACACAGAGCGCCCACCTTCCTTTCCCAGGAGTAAGTAACGCTGGTGGTGGTTATTCTAACAGTCCACACGTCTTTCCTATTGCACTGTCAAATCTGAGGGGGGGAACCCGACGAGATGTTTGGGGAACTGGCAAGGGCAGACCCACTGTGTAGGCCACAGCACACACCGGAGGCTTAAGGGGCTGAGGTGAGGGAAGGTAGGGCAGAACCGCGTTACACGTCAGCCCTCCAACTCTGATGAGCCTCCACCTCTTCCGGTACCACCAGCAGGAGTTCACAGTTCTTTCCTCGCAAATGATGTTTTAGAAATTTCCTATGGGAAAAAAGATAGATGAGAGACAACATGAAGTGCTGGTGAGACTGCAAGTTGCATGCTCGGGGCTCCCTGTTCCCCAGAGACTTCGCTCTTTCCACCCTTTGTGCTCCTACAACACTATAGTAATCCATCTCTTCTCGAGGGTTCGACGCCAGTTAACTCTCAATTGTCCAGTTAGATTTCCAATTTGAACTTTTGAGAAGGGAACTCCATCTGTGAAGAACAGAGCCCAGAGTACTCTACAGTGAAGGACTTCAAATTGAAAAAAAAAAAAAGTTTCTTCTTTGGTCACAGGGAAACGCAGTCCTCTCTGGCCTGTGTATTTCTGTGTCTCACTTTCTCTGACTGGCAACTATCCTGCTGTAGCTGTTGAAGTGTGGAGAATGTTACGACACTAGTCCCACCAGGCCAGACGCCCAGTGGAACATCTCTACCAAAGGGACTTTGGTCCGTCCAAGACTGAGGTCATTCAAGTGTGAGACCCTATGATGCTGAGCAAGGCAGAGAGGGGATCCAAAGAGACCGGATTTCATTAGTGTCCCTCCTTTGTCAAATAACCAAAGATGAGCTCAGCCTCCCCAGAACACCCAAATGGGGGAGCCCAGCACATCAGCCACAGCAGGTGGAGACTACCTGAGCTCGCTCTCGCCTCCAATCCACTCGGGCATCTTGAGTTTGGAGTCGAGGTTGTAGTAGGCACCTCCCACCTCTCGAATGCAGATCCAGTGCTGCCTTTTGAGAGGCAACTTCAATGGACCCCAGCACAGGCTGGAGGGCAGATTCATGATGAAGCCCATGACATTAGTGAGAGCAATGACACTGACATCCCTGCAAAAGAGGAAGGGGGCTGGGTCCTGAGGCATCCATCACTCAGGGTTCCTTGGCTGTAATGCCACCCTCAGTCATCTCCCCACTCATGCCCTGAGCTCCAGCACTAGAGGCTTTCACCCCAACCACGCTGGTCTCCATCAAGTCAAACCTGGCTCAAATTACCTGCGCTTGTCCCACCAAACAGCTTCGTAGCCTTTGGTTTGAAGGGCTGCCATGATGACGTTCACATCGTAGTTCCCATTTCCCAGCATGCCCTTCTTGTGGGGTGTCACCATGGTATTTGGAGACAACCTAAAAAGGTGAAGAGAGCGGGCTGAGACTCTCTGATGCGCCTAATCCTGCCTGGCCCTGCACAACAGGACGGAAGAGTGCTCACCACTGCCCCTGGAAGCTTGTTTTCCCTCCCTCGGGTGCCATTTAGTCAGTTCCTATCAAAGTATTTTGTTATCTGCTCCAGCTGTCCTTGGAATTACCTTTTTACGCAAAAAACCTCTGTACAGATGAGGCCTACCTGCCCACCATTTAGTGTGTCTATATATAGTACAGTCCATGGACACAGAGCAGGGGCAAGGGCAGAGTCTCCTGTGTGAGACCCACAGTCCACCCACTCTGCAGTCTTCTTCCCCCCAGTGCTGAGCCTCCAGCCTTGATACAAGTCCTTTTGTAACACTAGAAAATAGTACTTGGTATTTTCATTTGCATGGGTGGTAAATGCTGTTACTCCTGTTTTTCATAGTCTTTTATTTAAGGCTTGCACACTCGTAATCATTAATTATTAAATACTCAAAGACCTATAGAAGCCTAAGGCAAGTAATATAAATGTATAACTGGGGCCAGAGTAAGGCAGTAGAGACTGGTGAGACCTATGTTAACTTAGATGCATGACCCACCTAAGGGTTTTCAAAACTTACATATGTGTCTCTGTGTGTGTATATTTAAAGATAAGTTTTTTTAAAAAAATGAAACACACATGCACAAAATCAACTGAAAAAAATTCTGTGCCAGACAAACAAAACTCAACTGCAGTCCAGGTTTGCCTGTCAAGCTTTAAGTCATTTTCTGCCAGGTCCCGTCATTTCAAGATAAGGTCTGTGCTGAGAACACCTCCAATCCTATTCTCTTCCACCAGCTTGTCAGACCAGTACTAGAGAAAGGCCAACCTGAAGGAAAAGGGTCAGCATGAGGTGTGACGAGCTCCCTCAGGAACACAGTGGAGGGCAGATGGCCAGGTTACTCAGTGCCACCTCCAGAAGAGAGTCCGGACTTCAGGCCGAGGACAGTAGCTCTTAAAAACTTAAGAAATCTTATAAAATTGTTTTCAACTTCTCTACACACAACCACCATACCAATTCTTTATCAAACACAAAACATGCTCCTGCCACTGCTTAAAACCCTCCAATGCATCTCAAAGCATTTAAATAGAACCTAAACATGCTGACTCATCTGTTACCTCTTACCACCCTGACTTCCTTCTGTTCCAGGAACACATCAAGCTCATTCTCACCTAAGCACCTCTGCATTCACTAGCTGTTCCCACTTTCTGAACACCTCCCCTAGATCCACTTGTTTGCTCCTTACTATTTGAGTCTCAAATGTTACAGCTTTAGAGAAGCCTTTCCTGACCATCCAACCTTAAGTTCTTCCCAGTCACTTCCTCTTAGTCAACTTGTCTTAATTACAGCCCTTGTCACTACCAGACATATTTTTCCATGTCTGTTTTCCCTGACAGCAGGGGCCTTGTTGACCCTGCATCACCAGGGCCTAATATATGACAGGTACTCAAGGGATGCTTGTTGAAATGTTCCTCATGTTTGTTATTCTCTCTCCTTCCCTGTAAATATTAATAGTCAACCCTTAAGATGAAAAAGACTTATGTGCTTGTCTCCAGAGTTAGCAAGAAAGGGAGATCTAGGAATGCTAAACTCCACTTAGCATACTTACCTGTAAGAACAGCTACCACTATTAACAACTTGCCCTTAATCACTTACACGACAGGGCTAGGATTCATTTAGCTTCGTTTGAGTCTAAAGATGAGTTTGCTGCCTATGGCAAGGACCCCAATCAGAGTGGACAGGGGCAGCAGGTGACAAGAGGAAAAGCCAGAAGCAAACGGTGAGTCCCTGGGGCCTGGGCCTACAAAGTAACTTAACAGGACAAAGGCCCTCTGTAGGTTCTTGGCCACTTGGATTCAATGAGAAAGCAAAGAGTAAACGGCTGGCTCAAGTTGTATCATTTCTCTTCAACAACTTCTCAGTAGCTTCCGCTACGTTCAGTTAAGTCTCTGATCAAGACATGCATGAAGGTTCCAACAACGAAAACACCGAGTCTTCCGCTTCCTTTCACCTTGAACTCCCTCCACCAGACTAAACCTTGAAGAGCACTTTCGCAAGTGTGTTCCTGGAGAGACCTGCTCCGTGCACTTTATCAGAACATCACAGAAAGCATTAAGGTAACAACTGAAGGAATTAAGTGAGGAAACAGTTTCCTGCAGGAATTCTGGGAGTCCCTAACATGCTAATATTCACTTTGCATCTCCAAGGGGGGTCTAACATGCTTCAGTTTCCAAACACATGTGACCATGTCAGCGTGTTTTGACACACATCTCATGATAGTTCTCCAAGGCTCTCTCTCTCCTGTTCTTCAGCGTTCATCTCCGCTTCAAATCCTCTCCCATCTGCTCCCACTGCCTCTTCCCTAGCGAGTCCCTCCCCTGACAGCTGGACTTTTAGAACAGATTCTCGGTTATCTCCTCGCTTCCAAACTCTCCTTCCACAATTCCTGCCATATCCATCTTTTCCAAACACCCAGGATCATTTCCCATCATTATACAGAACTAATCCTGAAGCCACCTGCTGGTGGGTCACCCCACACCTCCCTGCCCACTCAGCCTGCTTTGCTACCCTCTCACTGGGCTTAGTGCACTTCAGGTACCGGGATCTTTTAGGCTATTTTTCCTTTATGCTAGTTCCTACTCCAAAGCAAATCCTGTAACTTCTTCAAACTCACATACCACTTCTTCTTCCAAAGAATCTTTCCTGGCTCCTCCGTCTAACAGAAAAAGGAGGGAGCTTGGGAAGAAAACAAAGATCTGCACTTAAACCCAAGCACCACCAATAATGGTGAGATTTAAGCTCTGTGCCTATTACATTGTCTACAAAAATGAAAATAATTCTTCCCTTAAGAGAACCATCGACAGACTAAGTTATTTTACATCTATGTCCACCCAAACAGTAAAGCCCTTAAGCAAAGGGGATGGCTCTTCTACTCTATATGCCTCACAGTGAGGCCCTGGCAAATTAATAAACGTGTGTTGGTTACACGGGAGCATTTTGTGATCAATCGAGGAAAAGCTGAGTAGCTTCCATCCATCTCTTTCATAGAGGAGTCATCCTTTAAATAAATGGGGTCCATCCAGTGCGCCCTCTACCCCAGGACCTGCTTTTACGTAAACGTTTATCAAGCTACTCTTCTGGGCTTTACCAGCCAATCCTCCCACAACCTTGCCAGAGCTCTTAACCCCATATTGTAAGTAAAGAAACAGAGGCAGAGATGGTGCAGCAACCTGCAGTCATACGCTTGCCGAGATCAGACTGGGCAGTCTCAGAACTACTTCAACACACTGACCTGGTCCCAGTGAAATCTCATGGGATCCTATTCTGATTCCAATGGAAGATTCTCTTGTGACTCTTTGGCAAACTCCTGCTCAGGACTGTCTTAATTATCTCCACAGAAATCCTGGGCTGGAAGGAGCCGCTTCTCTTTGTCATGACAGCCAAGGTCAGAACCAGGAGATGTGAAGGGATGTACAGGTGAAAAGTGAGGCTCTCGCCTGGATCTCCACCGGCACCCTACGCCTACAGACAAGTCCTGGTCCTCTCTCATGTTGACCACTGTGCCTGCTGTGGTAAAGGTATTGGATTTCAATGAAAAGGGAGACAGGGAGACATTTCATCAAGACTTCTCCCTCCTACAAATTATGATTTTCCTCTTTATCAGGTCAGAAGAGATTGTGACATTACAAAATAGGGAAATATGTCTCAGAACCTCAAGGTGTTTTTAAACAAGTTAATAGCAGGGCTTCAAACTGGTTCGTTTCAGTTCCACTCCAGATATACAGTGAATCCATAGTCACATTTTAACAAAATCCCCCGGTGATTCTTATATCCATATGTAAGAATTTATAGGAATCTATAAGAATGTAGATTCTGATTCAGTGTATCTGGGATGGAAATGCAAATTCTCAGCAAGAGGTTGAACTGGAATGAACTGGTTTAATACCCTGGTTAAAATACATAAAGCAGGTCTCACCAAACTGGGCACAGTGAGTGCTCAGCAGCTATTGGCTACTACGAGTTTTGCACGACAGGACTCACATCTTCAGAGGCTAACACTTTTTATCAATTTACAACCACACCAAAACCAAAAAACCAAACCCATTGCCACTGAGTCAATTCTGACTCATCGTGACCCTACAGGACAGAGTACAACTGCCCCACAGTTTCCAAGGCTATAAATCTTTATGGAAGCAGACAGCTTCCATCTTTTTCCTGCAGAGAGGCTGGTAGGTTTGAACCACTGACCTTCTGGTTAGGAGCCAAATGCCTTAACCATTGCACCACCAGACAACCACCATACCTTTAAATCTAGACCCTGCCACCTGCTCGCTGTGCTACTTTGTTGTTGTCAGGTGCCACCAAAGCAGGTCCGGCTCACAGGTACAACAGAACGAAACACTGCCCGGTCCCGCACCAGCCTCACAATCCTGGCTATACCCGAGCCCATCAATGTACCCAGTGTGTCAATCCATCTCATTGAGGGCCTTCCCCTTTTTTGTTGACCCTCCACTTGACCAAGCATGATATCCTCCTATAGGGAATGGTCCCTTCTGACAACAAGACCAAAGTAAGTCAGACAAAGTCTGGCCATTCTTGCTTCCAAGGAGCATTCAAGCTGCATTTCTTCCAGGACAGATTTGTTATGTTTTTGTTTTTTTGCAGTCCATGGTACTTTCCGTATTTTTCACCAACACCACAACTCAAAAGCATCAACTCTTCTTTGGTCTTCCTTATTTACTGTCCAGCTCTCACATGCATATGAGGCAAATGAAAATACCATGGCTTGGGTAAGGTGCACCTTAGTCTTCAAAGAGACATCTTTGCTCTTCAGCACTTTAAAGAGGTCTTTTGCATCAGACTTCCCCGGTGCAATATGTCGTCTGATGTCTTGACTGCTGCTTCCACCGGTGTTGACTGTGGAGCCAAGTAATGAGAAGTCTTTGACAACTTCAATTT